CCGTGCCTGTTTTTATGGATGTATACACACACACACACACACACACACACACACACACACACACACACAGAGAATCAAACATATATATGACACACACACACAGGCTCACAGACTGCAGAGCAGGATACAAGAGGTGATGATCAGGGAGTGGCAAAGGAAATATATCTCTCAAATAGGTTCTGTCATCTTTTGCTCTGCATCCTGAATAAATCCAGAGAGGGGACAAAGCTTTCTAAAGGAGGGTTCGCTACAGAATGTGCACACAATTACAGAAAAACCCTCTAGGTTTCTGATTAGGAAAACAGCTCAGGGCCAGAACCTAACACTATAAAGTGGATTCCTCCCTGTCATCTGCACTCATCTCAGTGGAATAAATAGCTTCCTGTGGGAATTCATTAGTTTACTTTCACTTCCACCTGAAAGAGAACTTTTTTCAGATCAGATTAAGTAGAGGCACAAGAGAACTTTTATGCTCTATTGAGATCCAACCTCTGAGCTTTTTTGTTTTTCAGTATAGATTCGTCCAAGGTTAGTCCAGTCTCTCCTCAACTGTTCTTTTCTTCCCATTTTTCTGTTCAATTTGGCACCATTGTTTCTCACAGCTAATTCGGGGACAGCCATTCAACAGGACACCAGCTTTGGAAAAACCGATGCCACACTCCACTATCAATAGCTTCTCTATGTCTTTTGAGAAAATGCTCTCTCTCTCTCTCTCTCTCTTTCTCTCTCGCTCTTTGTCCTTAAGGAGAGCTCTAGCACAAGCCCAGGACATTCCTTTTTCTTCATGGTATCAGCCACAATCTGGCTGTTTGCTGTACAAACAGAGTTTTTTGTGTTGCGTTGTTGTGCAGATGAGTTGTACTGTCACAGCAAGTGAACAAAGGGCTTTTGGTATAGGCAAAGGAGACAGCCCATAAGTGATGGTTTAATACTGACAATAAAAATTTAATGTCATCATCTGTTAGTAATCTAGTGTAGAGATCTACACTTTGCAGGTCCCCATCACTCTGCTTTTTCACAACTGCTTATTACTCAGAAAAGATGCTTTAATCCAATTCTCAGAAGAAACACCTGACTACAAAGTAAGAGTGAACATTAGGAAAAACATTTTCTATCGCTCCGAGCTACTATTCCCATAAGGTTGTCTGTGCTGACACACAAAAACTGTGTTTGAGAAGGTTTGCTCATGTTTTAGGTGCTGTGTTTCTGCCATCTGACATCATATGGACAAGGGACAAGTCTTACCCCTTGATCTCTGCAGGTCCTCGTCTATTCATTATTCACTTCAGTGACCCTCCTCTGAATTAAAGATATGCAAGCTTTGACTGCTCAGTGTTTTATGGGACAAAATGTCCTTGCAGACAGTAGCAAACTTCCAAATTAAGCTTTGTCTTTAAGAGTATGAGGGCATGCATGAGCAAAAGGAAACACAATGAGTACTATAGCATGTATTACTCAGGTTGCATGTGTGTGTGTGAGAGAGAGAGAGAAAGAGTATAGTGTTTTTAATCCTAGTCAGCATGTGCTCTGGTGAAGCCCTGATGGACCAGCTAGTCCTTTGTTACTGGTTGTTCACCTTTTGAGGATCCAGTGCTTCGTGCTTCAGGGAGGGGCCTCATCTTTCAACACAGATGGATTGACTGTCTTGCAGTCTTTCAGGGACATTGTCTCTATTCTACAAAAAAGCACCTGCGCTAAGCAGTCTGCATCTCAATACTGGCAGAATCAATTAGCTGGGTTTGTTGTGAAATTACACACACAAAGACACATTCACAACTTGCTCCCAAATTATCTGCTTTGAAGTGAAGCTTGGCTGTTTGACGGGCAAATATTGGCTGGCGTGGGCGTCTGCCAGGGGACGGCTGTTGTTAGGCTTTTCTGCAGGCATCATTGTAGCTGTTTCCTGGTTTGTGCAGACTTGTATTTGCATATGTGTAGCCCACACATGCTTTATGTCATTAAAGCTCACCACCTTATACTCCACACATTTCACACAAAAAGGACAGCTTATTTCCACGGTACTGCTCAACATGTAAAAACAGATGTATGTCAAGTCAAAGTTAAGTTTTTTTTATATAGCCCAGTATCACAAATTTGCTTCAAGGGGCTTTTAAATTTGTACAGCATATGACACCCTCTGACCACAGACTCTCAAATAGTGTACGGAAAACTACCCGACTCCAAAACCCCTTTAGTGAAAAAAGAGAAAGAAAATAGAAACCTCTGAAAGTAACAGAGGATCCCTCTTCCAGGGACACACAATGGATGTCATGTGAAGAGAAAAAAATTAACAGTATGGACAGTCACAATGACAAAACTGTATATTTTAAACTAAAGAACATGCTCCAGGAAGACATGTGACTTCCAGGTGCCTCCAACAGGCACAAAAATTGGTGTAGAAGCATTTTGGAGTAGGAGGCTCATGCAGTTTTCCTTCATCAGCAATGTTCTTACTGCAGCCTGCACAGATGGACAAAAATGCAATAATTGCACTTATAATTTACATTTTAGCATCATCACAAATGCTCTGATTCAATTGTAAAAGTGGAAGATGGGGATTTGAGAGGCAGACAATTACTGATATACTGATATCTGCTTGAAACTAACTTATTTGTGTGTCTCTTTTGTCAGTGGCATAGCACATTATCCAGTACACTTGATGCCAAAATTGAGACACAACCATCTTGATTGTGTGGAGCAAAGTGTATGTTACTTTATAAAAAGACATTAGTATTGGGTGGCATTTTATCAGGTTTGGAGTCACTTCATTAAAATGATAATAGCGGATCACGTTACAACAACAGACGATATTTCAATTAAAAACATAAAAAAAAAGAAGACCCCTTGTAATATGAGTCTATTTGTTGCCATTGTTAGTTACAACAATAATAAGTGGGACGTGAGTGTGAGAGAAAGACAGAGAGCGAGCAGCGTCTCGTCTGTATCCAGTAACAGCTGGTGTCGGCGCGTAATGACCTTTTGTCTCCCGGCGGTCAGGTACGGAGAGGGGGCGGAGACTCACAAGGAGTAGCTTCATATCGTCCCGGCGTCCCGAGCAGCAAATGGCTGTAGACCGACACAGAGAGAGAGGGTGATCTAGGTTTCTTTTCTTTCAGCACGACAACAGTAAGAGCTCACACAGTGGGCTAGAGAGGGTAAGACGCGCTCTTTACCTTCACACTGAGAACATTTTTTCCGTATCGCAGAAGGATGGGAGAGTCCTGTTGACACCACGGAGAGATACACGCTGAGACCGACTATGGCTGTGGACGGTAGGAGCGCTTCACTCTTCCTTTCACTAAAGCATCCTAACAAGGTTCACAGCATTCATACCGGGACTTAATGTGGCATTCAGCAGTGAGTTCATAGGGACTTTACAGTAGACTACTTTGTGATTTTTAAATCATATCACACCATATATTCATACAATATTGTCATATTGGCATGTGCTTATTCTTTGTTTCTGACAGGATTTCAAATGCTGTCAGGATTAAAGGTTTTCTTTTCTGTCAGGTTAGGTCTTGACATAATCCACTCTGAAGCTTATGAATGAGACCCAGCGCAGTCACAAAGGTGAAAAACATACAGACAAATGTTTCATTCATGCAAGGTCTTGGAATATTTCAGTATTCGCTGTAGTAGCCTACAAATTCTTTGGCTTGCTGGAAGTTAGGTGTCTCTAGAGGTCTGTTTGTTGCTGATAGTCTGTAGTTGTGGGCCAGTGCCTGACTCACCTGGATAGGTTACAGGCAGTACTCAGCTCAGGAGCATTAGGCAGCACGCTTTGTGTCATTCTTTTGTTTGATTAATAATGGGGGGAAATGGTAGACGTAAACAGATATAGCTACTCTTTTATATATATATATATGTATATGAACCAAATCCTTCTGTTATATATGAAATCAAAGGAGTGGATCACAGGACTTGACCAGGGAGTATAATAGTAAAGCGACAGCCAGACTCACCCCTAATCTTCAGCCAAGCCTTTTTAACCAACTCAAACTCAAATCAAACCCCAAAACAGATTCACTGTAGCCTATAGGGGGCAGCACGGCAGAGCAGTGTTTAGAGGTGTCACAGCAAGAACGTTTTGGGTTTGAGCCCCAGCTTATCTGGCGCCTTCCTGTGTGGAGTTCTCCCTGTGCCTGCATGGGTTCTCTGGCTTCCCCCCTACAGTCCAAAGACATGCAGTTTAGGTAGACTGGTGACTCTAAATTGCCCATAGGAGTGACTGTGGTTGTGTCTTAGTGTGACACTGTCACTGGCGACCTGTCCAGGGTGGACCCCGCCTCTCGCCCAGTGTCATCTTCTGTCTGAATTATGGTTGCAACTGATAATTATATTTATTATTAGATTTTTAAAAATTGGTGTCAGGAAGTAATAAAAAATGTCCATCAAAAATGCGTAAAGGCCAAAATAACATCATATGGCTTGTTTTGTTTGAACAATCAATCTGATACAAAACAGAGAAAAAAGCAAACTATCACACGTGAGACGCTGAAAACAGAAAATTTCTAGAAACCATTTTAATTACCAAAATACAGTAAATGCTGATTAATTACCTGCCAATTGATAAACTGACTAATTGTCTTGGCACTATTTAAATTTTATATTAGAACATGTTGATGTCCATTTCCCTCCAAAATGAAATTAGTCATTAATGTGCATTAAAATCTCTTCAGGAGTGCTGAATCACTTCTAGTGCTGTTGCTGATGTTGTAGTCCTGCCCCTTTCTCTTACCTACGCTTGACTGGTTGGTGTTTGCTCCAGGCTAACTATCTTAAAGTGAAGCCTAATCAGAGCCTCTCACTGCTCAAGGGCAATAATGTGTGCGAGAGCATTAGTGTAGTGCCAAGCGTGTTCCCCATCTGTCCTCTGTCTACTGAAACAGGTTAGCTCTTAATTAGCATAGCTGCTGATAGAGCACTCAGTCAGATATACATACTGTATATGCCTGGTGACACACTGGGCTTTCTGTATAATTAATGCATACTTTATTTAAGCATCATTAACTTACTCAGTGCCAAGGGTGTTGACACCACCTGTGCCACTTAAATTTTAATGAGTGTTTGTCCAAAAGGACTGTAGCACTCTCTGAAGTCATACACAGAGCCTGATTTACAACTTCTAGCCAACACTCCCCATGCACATCAAGGCATGGACTCTTATTTGAGAAGTGTTATTGAACTTGTTATTTGTTATCAATATCATATGCTAGCTGATAAAGAATGTGTTTAACTGTTGGTGGGAATCCATCCATTCATTATCTACACCACTAAATTTCTAGAAACCATTTTAATTACCAAAATACAGTAAATGCTGATTAATTACCTGCCAATTGATAAACTGACTAATTGTCTTGGCACTAGTTAAATTTTATATTAGAACATGTTGATGTCCATTTCCCTCCAAAATGAAATTAGTCATTAATGTGCATTAAAATCTCTTCAGCAGTGCTGAATCACTTCTAGTGCTGTTGCTGATGTTGTAGTCCTGCCCCTTTCTCTTACCTACGCTTGACTGGTTGGTGTTTGCTCCAGGCTAACTATCTTAAAGTGAAGCCTAATCAGAGCCTCTCACTGCTCAAGGGCAATAATGTGTGCGAGAGCATTAGTGTAGTGCCAAGCGTGTTCCCCATCTGTCCTCTGTCTACTGAAACAGGTTAGCTCTTAATTAGCATAGCTGCTGATAGAGCACTCAGTCAGATATACATACTGTATATGCCTGGTGACACACTGGGCTTTCTGTATAATTAATGCATACTTTATTTAAGCATCATTAACTTACTCAGTGCCAAGGGTGTTGACACCACCTGTGCCACTTAAATTTTAATGAGTGTTTGTCCAAAAGGACTGTAGCACTCTCTGAAGTCATACACAGAGCCTGATTTACAACTTCTAGCCAACACTCCCCATGCACATCAAGGCATGGACTCTTATTTGAGAAGTGTTATTGAACTTGTTATTTGTTATCAATATCATATGCTAGCTGATAAAGAATGTGTTTAACTGTTGGTGGGAATCCATCCATTCATTATCTACACCACTTATTCCTGAGTAGGGTCACGGGCGTGCCGGAGCCAGTCCCAGCTGACATTGGGCAAAAGGCGGGGTCCACCCAGTCTATCACAGGGCTGACATGTAGACAAACAACCACACACTCACATTCAGAGGCAATTTAGAGTCACCAGCCAACCTAAGCTGCATGTCTTTGGACTGTGGGAGGAAGCTGGAGTACCCAGAGAGAACCCACACAGGCACAGGAAGAACATGTAAACTCCACACAAAAAGGCCCTGGGTCAGCCCAGGCTCAAACCCAGAACCTTCTTTCTGTGAGGTGACAGCGCTAACAACCACTCCGCTGTGCCACTGTTGGTGGGAAAATAATTTAATATTTTGAAAAGTAGACACACAAATCTTTTACTGCATCTGAAAAATAGAGAAACAGCAAAATCAGACTACTTCAGATTTTACTGTGGGGCACCCTGGAACCCACTTTGTTTATAACTCTTTTGGATAGATTTTTTATGTATTAGAAATGTTTAGTGGAGATAGGATGTCTAGTTAGACTGTTAAATGCTTAGTCATGCTTATGAGTTTCTACAGGGTACATCTGGTCAAGGATAACTAGAGAGAAGAGTTGATGACTGTCAGCAGACAGGGTGTTTAATATTATTATTATGATGTGTATAACTGTAGCCTTAGCCATAATATGTTCTTATGTTTAATATCACGACATGTACTAGAGGTCGTGTGAGAATGTTTTTAGATACACACCACTTAACCAACAGACATACACATTCACACGTTGATTTCCTTCATGTTTTGACTACTGTTATGGCCAGCTGCAAAGCTGGCAACAGAGACGTCTTGGTTGACGTTTCTGTGTAGTATGGGGCTAGTCCAACCGAGGGGATATAATGTATAGGCCTGGTGGGTTCAGGGTCTTTCATCTTACATCTGCCTGCGTGCATGTTGGAGGTGCAAGATACCTGAGCGTGTAATGTTAATTTTACCTGTGATCCTCTGAATAAATCAGCACTGTTTTGTAGTTACTTGGACTGTCTCGTCTCTCAGAGTCAGGATGGTAAAAAGTACGGGGTACAACAGTTGGGTGTGTGCAGTGTAATAGCTAAGGTGATTGGTGGTGTTCACATTGATTACCAATTATCAGGATGTTGCACTTTCATAACTAGGTGGCCTGTCAGTTACAGGTATGTGACACTATCAATTACAAGGGGTGATCTGCATTTTAAATGGTATAAATTTGGTCTCATGCAAATTGCTGGGAGAATTACATTTCCCACCTAGTTGCCCGCTGCACAGCATGTCTCATTCCCAGGATGTCAAATACTGATGTGGTGTCATCCCATATGGTCTAGCGGTTAGGATTCCTGGTTTTCACCCAGGCGGCCTGGGTTCGACTCCCGGTATGGGAATTACTTTAGTGGGGGTGACTCTGGTTCAGTGGGTAGAGATTCAAATCTCGGTGCCTGCAGTCCAAGTGTTGAAGTGTCCTTGGGCAAGATACTGAACCCCCCGATGGTTAGAGCCATTGGTTGAGTTGGTGCCACATCTGGCTGCCTTGGTTCTGTACCGGAAACAAATTCCTTTTGTGTAACGTCCTTGGCCAAATAAAGATTATTATTATTATTATTATCTCATACTGCAGGGTGCTTTGGCATCCATGTAAGACACTTGTGATTTTCATTACAGAAGAGCATTAGCCCACGTCAGTACACAGAAATGGCATGGTTATGTTTAGGCACAAAAACAATGTGGCTAGGTTTAGACCAGGGGTTTTCAACTGACTGGGGACCATAGACTGGATGGGTACTATTTTAATCCTGAAAGTCACATTGGCTTTTCCAAATTATATTTATCTGAATGAGTTAGATTATTCTCTCTTCATATTCTACAACCTCTTACTCTGAGCATCAGATACTGATGCAACTGGCTAGTGTATTGAAAACCTTATGCATCTCTTATGGAGGCCAAAGGCAGCCTTTGGCATATTAGATGCTAAAGGTACTTGACATATTGTCAGTTTTTGATGCCCTGGGAATGAGGACAGGCTGGCAAGTCGTGCTCTGTAGTTATCCCCCCCCACCCCACCTCCATTTTGCTGTTCAAAGTGGATGAAATTCATTTCGTGTTTGTGTAAATCAGAGAGGACACCTGGCTGTATTGTCATAAATGAGATAAGCAGTCATACAAATGATGGGCCACTGTATTGTCCACTGCACAACTTCCAGGAGCAGTTTATTTATTT